GGTGATAACAAAGTTTGAGAATGAACATCATCATAAAAGGTACAAAGTTATACAGAGAGGTTCTTGTGGAAGCAAATTACTAAAAATTACAAAAGTACATTTGGTGGCTAAAAGATACACAACTAGTTTACTCTTCTTCTTCTTCAACGAGGCTGGTGGATGTTTCTTGGAGCAACCCTCTGGTTTCCCCATTTCGCCGGCTTTTCCGCATACTTCGCAGGTTCGGCAACTGATTTCGGACTCCTGTTCCCGGTCGATTTCCGTACCATCTCACCATTCTTACCTAATCCTGAACGATACATAAACAGATTCAAGATTAGACTCCAAAACCATAGACCAAAGTTGTCAGTCAACTGACAATGAAGCTCGGCTTACCAAACTCGGAAGGTGCTTGGTAGTACAAACTTCCATCGAATCCTTGATCAAACTCAGTGTCGAAGTAATCTTCCATGTCATCAAAATCAAATGATTCTGGAAGAAGATCAGCTACATCGACCTGACCACCATTGTCGTTCTCACCGTTGTCATAGAAACCATCTGGTCCTTGGTGCTGACTGATCCAGTAGTCATGGTACCAAGTCGAGGTTGTCACTAATTGCCACCATTCCGGTGAGAAATCTTCCACTTGTCTTACAGCTGCCGGAACAAAGAGCGGTGCGTCTGGGTTTAGTGTAGATCGTCTTCCTGATACCATCGCCATTCTTCAACAAAAAAAACTCTAGATCTGCACACACACACACACAAAGATCAATTCAAATTCAAATAGATCTGCACACAAAGCAACTACAAAATTTCTCAGATCTATTGACATGAAGCAACTACAAAATTTCCCGATCTAAAGATTTATCGATCAACTTAGCACTAATCTACTGATTCAGGGAGGATCAACACAAAGATCGAGGGTTCAATCACTTCATTTTGAGGAAGAAGCATCACATAAAACCAAACATATCCATCAAAATCCACCAAACAAAGCTTGATCGAGAAGAAGAAGAACAGTATCAAATCTTTTACCTCGACGGAGAAAATATCTGCAAGTTGCTCTCAAGTTGATAAGTTTTTTCTTTTTTATTGTTTCTTCGGTTGGAAAAGTGAAACGGATTAGGATCAAACACGATGAGAGAGGATTAGGAGGAGAGTATATAATATATAAAGCGAGGTTCGGTGCCGAACCTAAGGTTTGTAATACCGAAGCAGAATTATATGTGAGAGACAAGTGGGTAGGTCTGGACCCTTACCTAACATGGTTTTGAGTAATCCACCGTCCACGTGTTGACGCGTTACTGTGGGCTATTATTGACTTTCTTTTTCGTTCCAATCCGTTTGCGACTCGTATAAAAGTAAATTATTGTTATTCTCTTTTTATAAAAAAATATCTTTAAATTCGGTCGAAGAGGATAAGGTAGGAAAAACTAATCCAATATAGGCCCATTAACGACCTGATGGGCCTAACCCACTCATGATTAATTAATCATAAGTTTCTGAGTTGGATTTGAATAAAGTTTGATCGTGATGCTTATTAAGAAGATTTTAAAGTCATGCCTGCGACTTTGGAAAACATGAAGGCCCTTTTCAAAAATTTGGTGCTTTTTTACTTGGCTAAATTTAATTAGTTTTCGAGGCATCATCATGAGTCGAAACGTATTTTGCCGGTATTGAGTTTATTCCCTCTATGATGTCTGGTACTTTTGCCGGCATTTTGAGAGAGAAAAGGTTGTAAACTAGTAGTTTTTACGTTCGACATGATGTTTAAAAGATGTTTTGGAGTTTTTGGTCAGAAGATGATGCGATATTTTTCGCCGTCTAGTTTTTATGAGTTATTTTGATTCTCTTGATTGCGTTTAGTTTTTTATGGTTGAAGTTTTTAGTTGAGGGTTTTTTCCTCGTAAAATATCTATGTTTAATCTCTAGTCAATTTTAGTTATCTATTTGATTTAAGTTTTGCAATTCAAACTTGTTCAACGGCGTTTCACTGAAACTAATTCGGAACAAAATTGACAAAGATAGTCAAAGAAATAGATTTATCTAAATTAAGAGAATTGTTATCATCTTATCATAATAGATTTTGGAAGTTCCGCTGTTATTGTGGATTCGGGAACACCTAATTGTCTACCTTCGATTCGAAACAATATCATCTTGGTATCACTAATGTATCGTCAACGATTATTATATTCACTTAATTTTCTGTGCGAAAATGATCATTTCTCTTTGTATTTCATCTAATGAAATTCTTCAGTGGTGTAATTTATTTTAAATCAGTTTTAATAAAATAAAGGTATTAAAAAAAAAATTAGTTCGGTTTTGTTTGGTATACGATATAAAGGTATTTCTTGTGTTAAAAAATGTGAATATCAAAAATAAAGAAAAATAAGTTGTTATTTTCTTTTTTTGTTCTGAGCTTTAAATGAGAGATATTATCAACTACATAAAAAATACATTTTAATTTTCAAATTTCATGTCCTTTGGTAATTAATTTATGTATTTAATTAGGTATCTAACCTTAGGTAAAATATAATTAGGTATCTATCTAAAATTGTTGCTACCAAAGTTCCATTTCTAGCCTTCTTCATCTTCGCTAAACGCTTTACCACCATCTTTTCTCTTGGTCATACTAAACCAGCGCTGGAGATCAGTCGTAGTTAACTATGTTCGAAAATCAGTATAATAGGTAACAATTATTTTTCATTATAACATGTAGCTATATTTCTGATAATAGTTAACTATGTTTCTGAAAATAAATAACTATTACAACATTTTTATGTAGTCAACTATGATCTCAAAAATAGTTAACTATGTTTTTAAACTGATAACTACTATAAAAATAGTTAACTATGTTTTTAAATTTATGGTTAACTATGTTTTAGATTGTTCAAAATAGAGTAAAATAGTTAACTATGTTTTGAAATCAATTAAATATATAATTTCGAATATAGCTACAAATAATGTGATGTAGTTAACAATCTTGTGAGAGTGTTTCGAAAATAGTTAACTATCTCAGTTACATTATTATGTAACTACAACAGAAACAAAATCAGAAAATAGTTAACTATATGAACCTCTCTTTGCTTCCCAGATCCGCTGCCAACCTTGTTTTCCATCTTCTTCACCATTGTCAGTTTTGTGCTCATTCTCTGTAAATTTTTTTCCTAAAGCCTCTAATTGATGACCATACAACCAATTTCCATTTTATAGCAAAAGACATGAGATATACGATTAAATGGTTGATATTCATAAAATATCAGATCGGGTACAACAAGATCAATCAAGATCATTCTGCATCGATCAACCAAAATCTGATATTTTATTTCTCCTTCGCAGACATCGCTAATTAGGTTTCGATGGAAGAAAACAGTTTTTGTGATTTTAGCGATTAATGGTAAATATTTTTGATTGATTTTTACACATTTTCCTTCTTAATTTTCGCAGGGGTATTTTTGTCCATTTTATTCTTCTCTCTCCTAGATAACTAAATTTCATTATGCAGAAATTAGTTACCTAATTATGTATCCCAAAACAAATATTAAACTAATTAACCCTTCAAAATATAAGATTTTTTCAATTTTCTAAGCAAATTTATTGAATTATATTTAAGAAAACAAGAAGGAATATGGATGTCAAAGTTGACCAAAGATATAAGTGTAGCTGTTTGCATTCTTTTATTCATGTTTTTAATTTATTATTTAATGATATTTTTGTTAAAAAAATATTTTTTAATTTCTGTGCATTCAACTAGAAAATCTTATATTTTGGGACAGAGGGAGTATTTGGTACTTATGTGTGAGTATATAATATAGTATAGACATTATTCGATCTATTAGTTGAGGTGGAACGGATCCGGATATCTTAGAATTTTAGGGTATCCGGATCTGAATTTGGATCCCGTGGTAAAAGTATTTGGATTCGTGGTCTCTGGATATCCGAACTTTGAATATCCGACCAAAAACCAGGATATCCGCGGATATCCGGATCCGATAT